ACGAGGACTCTTCGATGATGTCTAGACAGATCTCACGAGAGCCTCAGTATTTCTGTTGCTGAACTTATCGAGAGGATGTATTCTTGTCAAGATATCTGCAGATCATTTATAATAACAAGAGTTATTTTTAAATCCTTGATATGTATTAGTTTCATATGCATTCCAAGTTTTTGGGATGACTGTCAGAATATATAATCTTATGTCCTTTCATTCAGTGTGACTCGTATGTCATTTTATTTTATCCTGTATTGTCCTAATGTATCCAAATATGGAACTGAACAGGATATTTCACTGTCCCAAAGTTGCACTAATACGCACACTAACAGAAATTAGATTTCAGCACTTCCTCCTCGTTCTTGTTCTGCAACAAAGCACTTGCATTTACCAGTCTCTTAGTTTATATGGGCAGGTGATTAAAAGAAGATGAACGTCACATCACTGCTAAAATATAAACTGTATCCGAAGATGTGATTGGAAACAAAGGATTGATTTACAAAGGAGGGGAAGCAGGTAAAGGACCTCTTTGTGAATTTTAAAAGCTGTACTAGTCTAGGTCATATTCAAAATTATAATTAATACATTTATTTTAAAAAAATTTAAAGCACTCAGTTTTTTTCATACTAAAATATGATATTAACGAAGATGACGGCGCGTGCAAATGTGCAGTACATGCAAGTCGGATGGGCCAACATCAACCAAATGGAGATGCTGAATTTGACTACATTTCATATGCCAGTGTCAACATAACAAGTGTTATCGGCACGTATATATAACCCTATGATTCCTTTAAAAGCAAGACAGAACTGGAGATGTCAGTCACTCTTGAAAGGTGGCTTATATCACCGACAGACTGCTTGATGTTAGAGGGACAAGGATACACGACACTTATGGACACGCAGTTGTGTAATGATACAAAATATTAAATTTTCTTGTTTGTTTCATTAGTTCCCAGTGATTCTAACAAAGGGGGAATATTATTTCTGGTTCTTTTTATTTTAAATACTGAGGCTCACATCTCATCTTCCATCTTTCCTAAATGTTTAATCTATTTGCACTCGTTCTCTGAAAGAACAGCCAAGATGAGTTAAAGGAACCTTGGTCTTTCACTCTTTGTAAAAACTGATTTTGTTTCATTTTTAACTAGGATGATTTTTTTAATATTGTAATGCAAAATGTTGAAGTGTTAAAACTTTTCCTCTGTCTGAACATCTCAGGGTTGTTCTTTCATTGATTAAAAATAGTCAGCAGATTTACGTTGTGTTAATAACATATTCTGTGTAAGTTCTGGGAATTAACTATTACATGAATGACATAGCGAAGATAGAAAAATAAATGTTAATAATGATGGCCAAATGTCTTCATCCTTTGTATGATGTCATTGTGTTTGTCCTCTAAATTTTAAAGTATGTCTTGTTTTATGATGTACTACTGTTCTTTTTTTGTAAATACTGTAAGAAAATGAGTAAACAAAGGCTTTCAAGTTGAATATATTTAATACTTAATTTTAAAGGGTTAGAAGTTGATGTTTGTTAAAATTAGACATGAAAATAATATATTAAGTGGTTGAATAGTATTTAAATATGACCATGTGTCACTAACTTATTATTTATTATATTAACCAACTGTTTGCATAATAATCTTGTTTTAAATACTATTTTACTGTATTTGTTAGTGACTTGCAGTGCTAATTACTACACGTTAACGGCCATAATTCTAGTATAAAGCATGTGTATATGCTCTGTGACGCGATGATTGCGCCAGGCATATCTGATTTCAGCTAAATGCGTCATTACTGTTTACCTAATAAATATTCTCTTAGAACTAAGAACTTTTCCCTAACTGTGTTACTGTGTTCTGCGTTTCATGATGAAATTCAGAACGTCATGAAATTTTGAGTGAAGCCTGATGTTCTTGAAATACCAACAAATTTTTTATATATATATAAAAAATGGTACACAAAATTGAGTCCAGATACGGAGATGGTTATATCTTTCTCACATAGCTTTAAAATGTTTGTTTTTTATTTATCCATGCTGTTTTACAGCAGGTGAGGAAAGTTCATACAACACTGTGAACAAAAGGGTGTCACATGCTACTAGAAACAAGTTAGCATGTAAGCAGTAGTTACAGACTTTAATTGAACTAAAATATAGTCTTGTTTTTTATTTACTTTAATTCTATTCAGATCTGTTGTTAGGGGGTGAGTTCTGAATTTTATTGTTGTGGAAGAAGGAGGTTTCTCTTACAGGATTTTATTTTTATGAAACTCCTTTTCCCAGCTGTATTAGAAAGTGTCATTTTGAAAGTGGATGGTATCATAATGATTTGGAATAATTTAATTTAAGCTGCTTCCTTCTTTTGCTGGAGGTCAGTTTTAATTAATTTTATAGGATTGAAGTTACAGGAATTTTAGGCATATAATCAGTATATTCTTATAATTTTAAATCTTGAAGGAATTTTAAAGTATTTCTTGGAATTATGAAGAGAAGCAGTTATTTTCATTTTGCAGTCCTATTTTGTCATATTTTATGTAACTCTTATCTGTAATTATATAGTAACTACATGCACATCTGTCAGCTGTGTTGCTATTTTGGCATGTTTGCATCCCTGTGAAATGCCTATTAAAATTTCTCCGTCCATTTATGTGCGTGTAACGAACCGAATGGCGGAACAGGTTTCCATAAATTTTGGTATTTGGGAACTTTAGTAAAATTTGTAGACACGTGCCAATTCTGATAAAGACAACAACATGCACCCATTATTGATTATATGAAGCCTTCCATGCATTTATGAACATGGAGGTTACTGGGTGGAAAATTCCTCTGCCATTAATTGGGCTTTTATCTGAACACTGAATTTCCATTACTTCTGCTTCATATATATATATATGTTAAGCTTTTTCATTTAAGCAGCCTCTGGGGATTTCCTTCAATGAGAAGAAATAAAATTACTATCTGCAGTAAATTTTGTCAATTTTGCAGTTCATATGGGTACCTTATGAGCATAATACTCCATAAATGTAGTAAGATTTTGAAGAACCCAATGGTTTCCAGAGGGCATCGTGGTTGGTTAAACGTATAATTTAGCTAGAATAACTGCATTTATCTTTTGATCTTTTAAAACTAGTTTTGTAAATTCTTTTAAACGATGACCTGGGATATCTCGATACGATATGAGCTATATATTTGTGGGTTTATTCCTGCCCAGAATAGAGATTTTCCCTGTCCATCATAATCAAGGCATATCCTTGTTTACCCATCGATAAGTCAAGGGAGCTCTTTCTCTTGTGTTGCGTGGCTTGAACATGAAAATGATGTCTCACCTCCATCTAGTGCCAAGGTTAAGAATATATGGAGCCTAACCTCCACTCCCCCATATATGGCATCATGCTTAAACACAGCGACAGTTTTAGTTTCAACTTTGTATATTATAAGTAAATTATGAGTGTGCACAACACTTTTTAAGACATAGGATCATATGGTAGTGAATTTTTATATAGGTAGCTTAACGTTTTTGCTGCAGCAGCTAGAATTATTTATGCTGAGCTTCAGTTACATATGTGTTGCCATCAGAAAGGGCTTAGGTCAGTACATTCTATGTAATCTATTCTTACAGAGTGCCAAGGATATATAATCCATAGGTAATGGTGACCGCAGATTCGTTTGTCAAGCCATTCAGTTATAAATCATTGTAACCGAAGTATGAACAGCCTTCATATTGTAAGACGTTAATACTGTACTGCTTTGAACACCGCCTATAGTAAAGTAGTTGTTACACTTTTTAGATTACAGTATTTCCACTTCATTCTACATCAGATCATGAATAATTTACTCGTGTTTAATGATGTAATGGATTTGTGATTTAAGTAACCATGTACTCACTGTGTGAGGCCTGGCGTTTACATGGCAATGATGGTGTCACTGTTCTTCTGGGTTGTGATAACTTGTTGACTTAAAGGTAGATACCAACATTATTGGAGAAATTCACTTGATCTTGGGGGCTGAAGTGAGGATGATGGGAGATGGACAGTTTATATAGGGACAGAAGAATAAAGATGCTAGTGGGAATTGACCAACTAGAGTTGAGGAATGAGGTTTGGGCGAATAGGAAAACTCCCTCTTGCATCCACCCTTCATGTCCACACTGTGACACAACCCAGAATAATATCAGTGTGTACTCACTGTTCTCTTTTATGAATATAGTGGTCTTGAGTAATTCTTAATTGATGGTGATGTTTAACACATTTTGTATTATTGTGTAAGGTGGGAAGACAATCAAAACTGATGAGCAAGTATGTTCGAGACAGTCGTGACCTATTTATAGAATTTGCCTGGAGTGAATGAGGAAAAACAGCGAAAACTCTAAGTCTGGATAAGTTGTGTCCTAACTGAGGTTTGCGCCAGGCACCTTGTGAATGCAAGTTACAGCGTCTTCACTTTGTGAATTTGCTCAGCGAATTGCCGCCTTATGGGAAACGGTGGTGGAATGTAAGGTCGTTTCTTGTCCAAGCCATGTGAAGTCAGATACTGAGAATGTAGTACCTCCAAACTGCACAATTTAGTTGAGCCTTGCATAAACAGGCTTTGTGTTCTAGCTACAACGGACATGTAATCGGATACATTTATCTTCTCTGTAAGGGTTTAGGTATTCGTAGGAGCAGTGTATGTAGTTTTAAGTCCTGTAAAATCCAAACTTTCTACCCTCTTAGTAGCAAACTGTTATGATTAATGTGATATTATGGTAGGGTCCTTTTAATAGTAGGAATTGCCTGTACTAATGATATGATTGTAATGTGTCAGAATTAATGTTTTTTTGTAAATATTATGTTTTTAATAGACCCTTCCAGTTATTGGCTGGTATTATGTTTCATTCATAGCTTAGTGTAATTTTATTTTTATTTGCTGATTCTTATACCTTTTTGTGAATTAATTATAGACTTTAGATACGTGAATTTGGTGCTGTTTGTTGCATTGTGATTATAGTACAATTTCTTAGATTTTTTCTGGTGCCAAGGAAACTGTTGATAAAATTATAATTTTTACAAGTATTATAAAACAGTGATGCACTACTTTTTCAACTTTGTTAACCTGTACTAAGTAGGTGATATTTCAAGTTCACACTGGTGTGAATATGAAGACAGGTGTTCCTTGGGATGTTGCACCACGTAGTCTTGGTAGATATTGGCCAGTGTTTCGGAGGCGCTTATTGCCTGCAAACCTGATCATGATGATGATGAAGATGGAAGCAGAAAGTTTCTCAAAAACATTGGTCAGTATATACCAGACTACATGGTGCAACATCCCATAAGGCAGCCAACTTCTGCACAAAATAAACAAAGATTTAATATTATATTGTATCCTCCTGATGTGTTTCATCAGACAGTTCTTGGCATTATCTGGAATATCTGTTATAATGCTTCACAACCTAAGATTGTTACTGAAAAAGTGTGAGATACCTTGGTTGTGTTGATAGTGGTCAGCCAAAGAATAGTAAAATGTAAAATGTTAAACATCTATTGAAGGTTGTATCGGGTGAAGTGTAATAAAATTATCGCCACAGTAAGAATAAAATTATGGACTCCTATTTTTTGTTAGCCCTTAATCTGGTAAGAGGTTTGTATATTATTTTCTTGACCTCTGCAGGATTTAATGTGTTACACTTATAAAATATTTAAGTAATTGTGTTATTTAACCCTTTCGGTCATAACACTGGTGTCTTATTGAGGTGTTTCACTGAAGAAGTAATGCAAATGACTGTCCCTTGGGTTTGAACATTTCTAATACTATTATGATATTTTATTTGGATATTATACATTGTCATTTGGATTGAACCAAAGGCCTGCTGATGAAGAGTAGCTTTGTCTTCTGTAGTTGTTACCTGAAGAAAGAGATGGGCCAATCTTCAAAATGTAGAGTAGTGAATTTTTATATTTAGTATAATTTAAATAACAGACAATGGATAATAATCAAATAAAATATTATAAAAATTTTAATATACCAATGTCATAAAACTTCAGATTGGTTGTTTAGTTTCATTTATATCATCAGATTCGTTGTTCAAGGCAGAAATAAACATATCTTAACAAGATAACTTGTTCGTAGCAATGAAAGGGTTAAAATTATGGTGGTATGCTTCCAGGAATTGAAATAAAATGGCAACCACCAAGATTTTAAAGTTGCCAACTACCATTTGTTATGCTGGATCTTTAAATTTCAGTTGACGTTATTCAAGAAACAGTGACTGTAAAACTAATTAATAGTTAATAAGGCATTGTACAGATGGTTACAAATGTTTACCTTATTATCTGTTTCCTGAGATGTAATGTTTAAAACATTTCTGGCAGTATATAAATTTAAATACAGATGATATATCCAGACTTATGAAGAATAATTCTGTGGAATACATACATGGAATTCATTTTTATTTCTCTGTTGTAGGGTTCAAACCCATTCCTTGGTAACAAAACATTAAATGAGGTTTTCACTTCTATTAGTTCCCCCAAAATTATACAATGTCAGGCCATTATCATCTATATATAAACTGGTAATAAAACTGCAGTGTAAAAGAGTGCAAATCAAATCATATTATATTATTTCGGTACAAATGTAGCCTCAAATTTGCAAATGTTTTTCAAGAAAAATTACATATGGAGAGAAGATGGTTATAACCATTCTGTAAAACATTTGTCTTTTCCAGTGAAAACTTGATGGTGATATGCTGAATGAAGAAATTAAAACAGATCATTCTGTGGTGATATTCCAGATTGTCACATGAGAAATAGATATGTCTTGTTAGTTTCTTCAAGTATTAGCTCCTCGCTTTCCCTGCGTAATTTGTAATCTTTAATTTAAACGTAGTGTCTGGTGATTGTTAGGAACAGTTTGGGGCCTATAGACATCAGACTAATCAGTAAGCATGTGTTGATATGGTGCATCAGTACTGTATTCATGAATATATTTTATAGATTCCAAATGGCATTTACATGTAATTAAATAAGACTGTACAACATAAAATTCATACATTACAATTGTAGTTTGCATTATAGCATACTCTGTAACAAATCATGATTACATCTAAATTGTATTGGTTTTACCATATTTAATGACAAATAATGTTGTTTTAATAGTATTAGAAATCATGTTAATGTAAATGTAGCCTTGGAAACATAAATGAAATGTATGCTGAAATGAAGTAGCTTACAGAACATTTAATCATGTCCAGTAATGATATACGTATTAGAATTTTAAAGTGAAACTTAGAAACCAATATTAAGGAAAGAATGGTAAGTACTGTTTTTAATTTTAACATGCCTTAAGAAATGTATGTCTTCGTGTTATTTTAAAATAATTTAAAACAATCTACAACCAAACCCATGTATCTGATTTGAACACTGGAATAACCTTGGACTGTTCCACAAGGTAATTTGTCAAACAGTTGTTATTTCCTCATGAGTACCATGGTAAAAATATCAGCTGATCCTTATGTGGGCACTTCTCTTATTACATACCAATTATTTATTGTACTAAACCAACTTTTTATCTACTTTGCCACAAAATATTACATTGGTGATCTAAGAGAATTTACTTGAAATATTTTTGTATTTATTATAATATTTAATTCTTCATTGTCTAATACTTGTGTAATAAAAGAAATATAAAGTGATTTAAATGAACCCACCGTTTTATACAGATAATAAAAAGGAAAGACATCTTGAATGCATTCATTATATAAGTTGGTCTATAAATTGATTTATATGATGTTGCTAATTGTATTGTGTTTCACCAATTATAACAGCATAGTCCACTTGCTAAAAATAAAGATTACTTGCATAAAAGTTTAAATTTTCCTTCTTTTATTTAAGCACTTAAAATTAATTTTAAAAAAATAGTATTAAGCTATAATTTTTTTCTATAAAATATGTACAAATTTGTTTAAAACAGTACATTAAACAGTACATTTTTTAATCCGATTCAAATATCAAACCATGAGATATATTCATTTGTCCTCAGTTCCTGTCTATTTGAACCAACTATTCAGTTTTCTGTAGAAGTTCTCAAGATCACGATAGAACTCCTCACGATACTGGGATTTTCCACAACGGGTAACTTGCCTTTGCTCAGAACTGTAATAAGAAAACATTTCCTGATTTATAAATTCAGGTAATATACAGTAGTTCAGAGTTTACTCTTGTACTTGGGTATTTTTTTAATGTGGTTGGCATCAACTGAATGTCCTGTGGATTTGGATTTTCATAATCTCTGATGATAATTTGCTTCAACTTACATGTTGCAAGGATACTTCAATGATGATAGACTTTCCCCAATAAACCGATAGTAGCGTGAAGCATTTAGGTTATTATGAATGTGGTGATGAACTGCTCCTGCCATTCTGAAATACGCATCCATACTTGAGAACCAGATTCATAAACTTTCTTTGAGTAAGGGAATTTTAAGCCCTGTATTATTAATCCTATTTGCTGATAAAAGAGGGTAACAGTATAAATTAAGATCTTTAAACTTACTTGTTACAGTTATTATATAATAATTAATAACTGAACAATGTGTTGAATAAACATGAAGAGTATATTTTCTTGAATTACAAGATTATAGCCAGAGATAGAAATAAAAATTCATGATTATACTATGAGGACCTCAAATCTTGTACACACTTACCTGACTTCATCCGATGCGCAACAACGCCTGTCTGAGAAAGAATGAAATTCACTCTGTTTACACTTCTTTGATGTGGTGCAGGCATGTTTACAAGGTTTTATTGCTTGTGTCTAGATTATAAAGAATACAGAATTCACATAAATTATCAGAATGTAACAAGTGTAATAGAACAACATACATTGAATGTGATTCATTCTCCTTGAAATAAGTTACTTTAATTTCTGCCCCTACAGAAACTTCTTTTAGTTAGTATTATCTTTATACCTATGACGTAAGTTTTCAATTAAAATTAGTAAACAAATTTAAAATAATATTTTAAAGTTACATACATGAAACATGACTGTGGGATAGTCAGTGGTAAAGTGACTGGCTACAGGTTCAAAATAGGGGCAGGAATCTTTACAGGCAGCGTAACCCATTCAGCATCATCTCAAGCGAATATGTGGGATTCTTTATGTGTAAACTTTTGAACCAACTGATGGATGTTCATGAAACTTGATACAAATTTGTCTTGTTAGGAATCTGTAGTCATTTGCATTATATATAGAAATTATCATAAATTGTATAATTAATATATTTTATTAATCCAATAGTTGGCTCCCGGGGTCAAGCTGATGCTGTTTATTTTGATCTTAGCAGTGCATTTGATCTTGTCCCTCATAATCTATTACTCAACAAGCTCAGTGCTTTTGGACTCTCTGATGGTTATGTACACTGGTTTCGTAGTTACTTAACCAACAGACAATCCCAGGTTCGCGTTTCTGGAACTCTTTCGTCTCCTTTTGTAGTCCTCTCTGGAGTTCCACAGGGATCTGTTTTGGGTCCTCTACTTTTCAACTTGTTTATTGATGACATATGCCAAGTAATTAATCATTCTAAATGCCTTCTTTTCGCTGATGATATCAAAATTTTTCGTGCCATTAAATCTCCCAACGACTGCAAT